ATGCATGTCATGTTAATAAAAAGTATTCCACATTAGCACACGTTACTCGTGACTATTATGTCACCCTTTCATGTTTAATTTAACGTTTTATTGACAAAAATAGAAATAAATAAAAAATCTAATAACTAAATTGAAACTTTTAGCAACAAAAATCATCATTTTACTGACTTTCCTCTCCAAATTTACAAAAATAAAAATAGAGTATAAACATGGAAAACCAGTATAAATATTTTACTATCTTCGTTTCTTAAAATGTATACTATTGACTTTTTAAGATTAGTTTCTTTTAACTTTGACTCTTTATTATTTAAAATTTTATTATTAAAAAAAATATGAGAAAAATATATTTTAAAACATACAATCAAGTAATTTTAATATATATATATATATATATATATATATTAAATGTTTAAAATAATCGTGATTAAAATCTAAAAAAATTAACTTTCGAAAAGTCAATAAAATTTATTTTTTAAAATGTTTAAAATAATCTTGACGATTGTGAAGAGAGTAAATTGGGTTGAGAGGGTTGCCCTTACATCTATAGTATATGATCCGGATTAATAAATTAATAAATCAAATACCGATAGTTATATAAAAAAATATAATTATAACATACAAATAATATTCTGGCTTCTCTGCCAAGTATAAGGTTTTTGGAAAGAGAACATCATCATCACGACCATTCTCTCCTTTTACTACCTTTTATTTTTTTCTTTTATATTTTTAAAAAAATCACATAAGTAATTTCTTTTAGTAAAACTTACTTTAACTCCATTTTTCCTCTTATGAGAAGATATTGAAATTTAATATATTCTATTTATTAAAACATATACTTTTTCATAAGCAGATCAAACGACAGATCTAAATCTTAAAAAATAAAGGAAAATAGAAAAAAGAACAAAGAAAAAGGTGAGATACATCGTTGGATTTAGGGGTGCAATCGATCGTTTCGGTTAACCGATCAAACTAAACTTCTAAAATTTTATTTAATTGAATTTTTTAACCATTAACGGAACCAAAATCTTGTAGAACATTATTAGTTGAATCGAACAAAGTTAAGTTAATCGGTCGGTTAACATAATTAATCGTAATTTATAAATATTAAACATTTTCAGCTATTTCGGTTAATTTTATCGATTAATTTAGTTAAAACTAAAGTTTAAACACTATAATATATAAATAATGTATATAATATATTAAAATTTTAATAATTTCAGTTAATTTAGTTAACTAATTGGTTTCGAACCAAATTAACAAGTAATTAAAATTTTAAAAAATTATCAACCGTTAAATAATCGAATCTAAATTAACTGGACTTTGAACCGAATTTTAAACCACCTAATTGGATTAATCCAAATGATTCCTACCGCTATTAATATTAAATACATGCCTTCATTTTATTTGACAAACATTCATTTCAACGACGCAGTATTTTGTCTGCATCTCATCATTAACCTATCTCAATCACCCCCATAAAATAAAATTAAACATTATTATTATTATTATTATTATTATTATTATTATTATTATTTTTCTTGTTCTCTCCCGGCCACTATGAAAATTATATTGTATACTCACGTGTGCTAACAGCCTAATAGCAAATAGAAATAGTATTATTTTATGTTTGATTGCTTAAAACATCTCAAATTGTTCTATCAAATAGCAATTATAGACTTGTTGGTCATTTTTATAATAAAATCATTCAAGTGGCATGTTATTGTTGTTGGTTTTTTTTGGGTAAAAAATAGACACATTTAATTTAAGATAAAATCAATTGAGTAATTATGAGATATATGTGTTATGAAAAGAAAATTATTATATAGATTTATCTCATCATGTTATATATATTGTATCAATTAAAATTATTTTATTTATTTATTTATTTATTTAAAATAAAAATATATTATATATTTAAGATAAATGTTAATTTTTTATAAAAAGGTAATTAATGATGTGACGAAAAGTTACAAATAGTATTTTTAATGAAAAGAGAAAATGGGCAATGACGATCAAACTACTAATTATGTGAGATTCACTTAGTTATCCTTTAATCACCTTTTTAAAGTCAAAATTCATTTATGGTCGGTCTATTTGATTGCTAGATTCGATAATAAAAAAGTATTTTCATTTACAAAATATTTTTAATTATCATTTTTATGGAATTGATGTATTTAGTATCAATAACAGTGGTTAACAGGGTTTTAAAAATATTTTAACAAGATCAAAATAGTAATACGGGGAAAGTTCATAGAGTGACTGAAGTGAAAAGGTAGTTAAGGAGGAGGACCTTTATGGTCCCTGGATGGTGGTGGAAAACCGAAGGAGGAAGATTGAACAAAGAAAGCAGAAGACGAAAACTCGTGGCAGTGCTAATGTTGTTAAGGGCACCCGTTATGCGATTTTAGGGGAGGCTAGAGAAGCTTCGGATGAAGGAACGGGTGTGACGAGGGTTGTTGAAGCTACGGATACCGAGTCTTCTCCAGAGGAACCCCGTGATGTGGTATATGAAAACAATTTGAAGCAAAGTAGGAAAAGCAAGGTGGTGGATCGTTCTGAGCCTTATCTAGCTTCGAACCCGGATAAGAAAAATAAATCGACTAAAGTTCAGGAAAAGCATCACCCCTTACTATGGAAGTGATTCCAATGATGACTGGGCAGCAAGTGGTTGTAGTTGAACATAATCCAAAAACTAATAATGGAAAACATACAGCTTTGTCTATCAAGGAGCCGAACAATTCTCTCGTCTTGAATATTTTCATTAAAAAATAAACCATTAATTATGATATATACTTGTATTATATAAATAAGAATCCTTTTTAACTATTAACAATATACACGAAAACGTATCTATTTGAATTTAAAATTTTTGAGAGAATAATTATTACTTGATGAGTTTATATAAAGATTATTTTTCTGTCAAACAAAAATGAGTGATTAATGATGAAATTCAATGCGGCTTTTATTTTGTTATCAAAAGATTGGGGTCCATGCCAAGTGGAACAATTCCTACATAATGTCCATTTTGAGATTGTCCCATTTTTAGGGTATACAATGAAAATAGTTAATGAGTTTGCAATCAAAACACGACACAAGTAAACAATTTGACTTTTGTTTAGCAAGTAATTTTCAGGGTAATTAAAACCATTTTCCCCCTAAATCTTTTTTGAAAAAGAATCTATGCCTTCTCTCCTTGAGAAGAAACCAGAAATGTTAAAAAGAGAAAGAAACTATGTGCATCAAAAGCATACAAAGTCTCTTTAATCATTGAGTGAGTGCCCTTCATTTTCAAAACCCAAAAAGAAAAGGGTTTTCCCCTCCCATTTCGTCCCTTTCTTTGATAATTAGACTGATATGAAATATCACCAACCACACAAACTTAATAGTTAAAGGATTTATTATTATCCTTAAATTTTTTGGGCTCAAGCATTACAAATGTTAGGGGTATAAATATTTATTGTTAAATGGTTGAGAGTATTCGAACAAATACTATCTTGTATTTATCTTGAAGTATAAAAAAAGACTAATAATAAAACTTAGGATAAATTACACGTTTAGTACTTTAATTATTAGTATGCTTTGGTTACCCAACTATTTTTTTCAAAATCCTACCCAACGTTATATTTTGGTTTCATTTTTATCATTTACCATCAAAAAATTAACATCATAATTGATGTGATTTTTTTATTTTTTTGACGATGATGTGACATTGACACGTCAGTATCACCGTTAATTTTTTAACAGCAGACGATCAAAATAAAAATAAAACTAAACGTTATGTATGATTTTGAAAAAATAATCGAGTGATTAAATCAGAACAAAAGTGATAGTTGAAATACTAAGAGTATTATTTAACCTAAAAGTTATGAATAGCCCATGTCCTAGGTTCAAATGATACACATTTCTAAAAATAAAGTATTGAAATACGAATTACTATGAGCTAATTTTGTGCATCAATGCTATGAGCTCATTCTTACCAATATTAAAAGACTTTGACAAAATATTATATAGTCTAAATAGTTATGATGCGAATACTTATAAACATTTAAATAAAATAATGGGAGTTGTTGAGGTAGATGGATGTTTCTTTAATGTGAAATTCGCCAAAAAAGGAATAATGTTTTTCTTTATGCTGAACTACAAATTAGCATAAAAAACATATTTTAGATCAAAAGTAACATGTTCCTTCTGGATGCTTTTTCTTTTTATCATATGGAACTCCATCTTTAATTTTTTTTATTATAATTATTAGGAAAATGTGTATTTTCTAATCAAATATTTAAAATACTTTATCAGCACATGATGGAACTCTTCGATGCCGTCTCCTAACTCGCTGGCAAGTTGGATTAATTTCTTATATAAGTCTATAATTCATATTAATTATTATTATAAATAAGCTTAGGCCATCTGAAATGTCATTTGGTTCCCCTCTTTATTATAAAGGTATTCTATTTATCCAATTGTACATAAAATTTAATGTATAAATGCTACATCACCACATATTTTAAAAAATAAATTATCAAACAATTTGATGGAATTAAAATCAGAATTGATTTTAGAACTAAAATTTTATATATTCAAGAGAAGTACAGTAATTAAATATGATTATAGGTAGACAGAATTAATCTAAAAACACGTAATTTGACCTAATTTTTTATAAAATTTAAATGTATTCCTTTTTTTTTTTGAAACTTTTTCTAAAGCTACGGTCTATCACCTTTTTTAAGAATAAGTTCATATTCTATTAATTAAGATATTAAATATAATTAATTTCTAGCATTAATTTTAAATATATATATATATATATATCAACAATCAATTGATATACTTGGATGAGAGATACGATTCCTTAAGCAAGGCTAAAAAGTTAAATCCTGATGTGCGTAAATGGAGTAAATTGGATTGGATTATCATCCCAATATTAAACTTCTATAGTACTCAATTCGAATTAATCGATTAATAGATAAGATGGTGGTGGTTATAAAAATATATATAAAGAAAAAAAACTTGTAAAATTCATTGGCTGTCCAATTTGAAAGAAAATCAAACTTACAAGTGAATAATGGAAAATATTACAGGACCACTTAGCAATATTCCCAAAGGCGAGGCTCCTCGTACCCAAACTCATTCATTTCATCACCCCAGAACTCGTAAATTTGATGATTCATATCTACCAACAGATCAGGAAGACCAATGAACGTATCATCATTATCATTCACCGATGAACTCGACCACTCTCGACCACCATCATGTGACACCGTCGACGACGGAGAATGAGGAGCCATTTGATTATTATAACTCAAGGTGGCGGCTTTAGCGGCGGCGGCTTGGATATCCTTGGGCGACGAACTTACCGGCCGAGGAAGCTCGTGTGCTACATCTGGGAAATTCAAATAAGCCGATTCTCCTTTAATCGTAAGCGCCGCTACATCGTGTGCTCGAGCCGCCATTTCGGCCGTAGGGAAGGTGCCTAGCCAAATCCTCGATTTTTTTCTGGGTTCACGTATTTCGGATACCCATTTCCCCCATTGACGCATTCTTACTCCCCTGTATGTTTGATGTTTCCCTTCGAAAACTTGGTCTTCGTTTTGAACTTTTCTCTTGTTTTCGTTCGCATTTTTTATTGTTTTCAGAATCTTCTTTGACATGAATACCAGAGGAGAAGATGAAGATGCGGAAGAGGACGAAGGAGAGGAAGATAATTGGGTGTCAAGCTCAAGCTCAGCTTGGAGTGGTACTTCCATGGCTGATATCAGTTGTTTTGGTGAGAAAATGTAAAGGGCATTGCTTGGAGAAGAAGGAGCTGAGCAGCTAGCTTCTTATAGTTTCTTTGACAGATTATAAAGTTTGAAAAAGTGAATTCATGGCAATTGGGCCACGTTATGGAAAAAATATATTTTCTTACGACTACTTATATCTTATCTGTTAATTAATTAAATATCGTAGAGATCAGTGTAACCCTTTCAAGTCAATTTGCACCGTTTGTAAATATTAGTGTTTAAACTATTGATTTTATTTGAGGAATTTGCATCTCATTAGACTAATTGATTGTTAATAAAAAATTATTTATTTATTGTAATTGTAATACCCCAAAATTTAGACAATGACCAAAATAAAAATTTGGAGAGTTTGATGGTCAAAATAGAAAATTAGGAAAAAGTTTAGGGAATTAAGTGATAATTTCCTAAAAATTTTATTCCATAAATAGATGGTTTACTCTTGAGAGTGGAGTTTTATAGAAATCATATTTTTGGAATTGGAATTTTAGTAAAGAAAAACTAGAAAGGATTAAAGCCGGTAAGGAAATCGGTATTTCAGATCGAATTGGAATTTTACAAAAATTTGAAGGATGCTATAAAATGGTTGGAATTATTATTTTAATATTTTGGATCAGAGAAATTTGGTCTGCAAATGTGCAAATTTTTAGTTTTAACCGAAACATTAGAATTTAGTGACTAAAACATAAATTTTGAAAATTCAAGGGAATTTCGGAAATAAAAGTCAAAATAATTCAGTTTTGACTTTGAAATATGATAAGGATGAGTTGTCATGTTTTTATGGTGAATTTTATGGTGAATATGGAGATTCATTAATGGTAAAAATGGAATTCCCTATTGAATTGAATAAAATAATTCTATTATACTATATTAAGACATGTGCTAGATTTATTTAATATTAGAGTATTATGATGGGGGAGCATTTTCAGCTCATCTTCTTCTCCAAGCCGTGGGTTTCTCTTAAGGTAAGAGAAAAATTTCAACTCAATTTTTCAAGCAATTTACTTAGGATTTTGAGTAAGTTGTAAAAACAAAAATTGTTATATGCGAAAAACGCTATCTTTTGGTACCAATATTGTATGATAATCTTGTTGGTGTTCAAAGATCCCAAATCTAAGGGTTTGTGTTCATATAAGGGATCATGAAATTAATGATGGATCTTGATGTTTGTGAGGAAGTTGATTCATATTCTAGCATGAAAGATGATTAGAACATGTTTAATCTTTTTAGAACTTGTTCTTTAAATTTCGGCCATGAATGGTTTGAGTGAGAAAAATTATGGAAAAATTATATATGGGTTGGAATTGATGAAGGAGTATTCTACAAGCCTCAGAAAAATTGGGGATCATTTCGTAAGTTTTGAAAAGTTGGGGATAAATTCGTAAATTTTGGAAAATTGATGAAGAACCTAGGGATGAAGTTAAAAGAAAAAGTTAGATTTTGAATTTGACAGTAGGTTCGAAAATTCACCAGAACTTATATAAAAATAATTTAGAGATTATTTTTATATATTTGTGTTCATATATCGATCTAGTTTTGTTTATAACAAACAGGGATCAATTTCAAGGTGAATACAAAAAGATATGAATTTTAATCAAGGAAAGGTCAGAAAATTCGGACAGCAGATTCTACAAAACAGATTTTGTTGATCAACTTTGAAAATTCACCATAAATAGTACATAATGAATTAGGAGGAGTTTTTTATATGGATAGATTCGCATTCGAGTATAGTTTTCAACGGAATAAACGGAATTAAATTCCAATGTTTATATCAATACAGAATATATATTATTTAAAAGTAGTGCGAGTTGTCTGAATATAGAGTTATTATGGGATATGTTTATGTTAGTACAATACTAACATATGTATCGTTATGAACTGATGATTTATACAGATTAGGATTGATTTGTAATCAAAGCAAATCAAATATAAAGGACTTATTGTGGAAAATAGTGAGGCTCATATATTTTGAAAGATATAAAGTGTCAAGGTGAGTGCAACACATGCATGAAATTATACATGGATGTTTTATACATCATTAGGAAGACTTGCGATAAGTCGACATTGTTTTATCAGCATGATATTATATCATATTTTTATAAATTGACATGACATTGATATGTCAGAGATTGAAATTATAATGCATTGAGTTTGGAAAATGTTATATTTTACCATGAATATTATTTCGGGTATGAACTGCCCAATGTTAAATTTTGATAATATACTTTGCCACGGATGGATCAAATAAAATAGACTGTATGTCCAAGTCAATTATTGAGGAACTGGGCATAGTTTGCATGCCATAGAGTCCAGTAGCAGGCTGCATACGAGATACACTAAAGGATACCTAGTGTATATGGTGGGTACGACCTTATGTGCCATACGGGACTGTACTTAAGGATACTTAGTACAGATGGTGGACACGACCTTATGTGTCATACGGATTAGCACTACAGTGCTTATAGTTGACTCGTGTACCCAGGGTCCTCAGGGTTGCATATTGGGCTATTGTCCATGGTTTATTGGTTAATAAATGGTAAGTTTTGAAAATAAGCTTACGAGTTATTGGAATGAATGGCAAGTATTTTGGAAAGAATATTTTTATATTCAGTTATGATATTTTGATCATGGTAAAAATATTGAATATGCTATTAGCATGGTTTTATGGCATTGGATTTGAAATCTAAATTCATGCATGAATTGTATTGTACTATTTATTGTTTTAATTGCCTCACTAAGTTTATACTTAGCGTGTGATGATTTTCACGCGTAGGTAAAAAGCAAAGAATAAGAATAAAGAGTTCGGAATGACATCAAGCATCGATAAGTATATTTCAATATCAGTATGACATCCTAAGTTGTAATGTTAATTTTATTAGTGGCATGTAATTATAAATTTTTATTTGTTTTGTTAAACAAATTGGAAACAAAATAAAATTTTTATTGAATTTATATGTATTTTCGAAATTTACTGTAGGAGTTACTGTAGCATAAACAGTAACCACGTTAATAAGATTTTTCAGAATGCATCTGGGGTACCGATTCCCCATACAGGAACCGATTCCTCACTGTTCATCGCTATTGTACACTGTTCACGGGTACTGTTCACTATTCATAAAAAATCTTTTGAATTAAATTTGTTTATAACGTAATATAAATTATATGATATGATATTTTTATAATATCAGTTACCATTTTAAGTAAATAAAATTTAAATCACGGTTTGAAAAGAAAAAGGTTTTCGTAATTCGGGTGACATTATAATCTGCATAGGTATAATTATACGGGTTATGGGTGTTACAGTAATGTTAAAATAAAAATGTATATATTATTAAATAAAAGAATAATGTTCTTTTTAATAGTTTGAGATGAGTATATAATAGTATCTATTCAAAATTTTCTTAACTTAATAATAACAAATATACATCCTGCTGACATAATTGCTTGAACTCTAAGACTTTTAAGAAATAAAAATTCTTTAACAACATTATAAAATTATACATAATCCATGTCCATTGGACCCACAATGTAAATGCACAATTTGAATAACATAATGGGTTTCGGCTTGAGCTACTGGTTTTGTGTATTTTTGTTGGCTTCTCCTCATGTCTCACCAAGGAGGATTTACTTGAGAGTTGCAATATTACTTCATTTTGGTGCCTTTTAATAGTTGCGTTGAGGGGTTAATTATGGGCCTACCTTATGGAATACATTTTTAGCCATGCATTTCACATGCAAGCTGGCTTCATGACCAAGTCTAAGATTGATTTTCATTAAATTAAACTCAAAATTGATTATAGAGATTAATTTCCAATAATATTTTATTAGTAAACAATTGAAAATTTGGTGGGAAATATTATATTATATTATATTATATTATATTATATTATATTATATTATATTATATTATATTATATTATATTATATTAACAATAATAATAAAATTATTAACAAGTGTTAGATAGAATGATAGGACATATTATATTATAAAACTGTTATTTCTTAATTCCGTGATTCATACCTTCCTACCATTAAAAAGTCAAAAATTATATTGGATGCATAAAGTTAAAAGAACAGCTGTACGACCAGTTTACCCAATGAAACTATGCTTATTTGTCTTTGTTAATCATTCGTACATATTAATTTTCTTTCACCCCACTTTCGTACAGTTCATCAAATTAGATGGATAAGGAAATCAAACCAACAACAAAACATCTTTTAATTATAACTGACATCACAAAGGATGAGATAACTATTTTACTATTCTTTTAAGAGTTAATTGCATCATATGTCCCAAAATTATGACTTTCAGTCCGAATTAATCCTTAAATTTTTAAATATTTCAATTTCATCCCTAAACTATGACTCTCATTCTAAATTAGTCCTTAAACTTTTGAAATTTCTAATTTCATCCTCAAACTATGACTCCAAAGCTAAATTTGTCTCCAAACTTTTGAATCTTCCAATTTTATCCCCGAATTCATCCAAATATGTAATTAGTTTCCACAATAGTTTAACCTAAATTTTATTTTTTTCCAAACATATAATAATATAACTTGGCCTAACAATTTTATTAACAAGGGATGTGATTAGTATATACGTATAATTTAGGATGAAATTAAAATATTCAAAAAGTTTGGGGGCCAATTTAGAATGAAGATCATAGTTTGGGAATTAAACTAAAATGGTCAAAATTTGAGGACTAATCTAGAATGATAGTCATGGTTTAGGGATAAAATTGGAATGTTTAAAAGTTTAGGAACCAATTTAGAATAAATATCATATTTGAAGGATATATGATGCAATTAACTCTTCTTTTAATTATAATTTTTTTCTAAAAAAAAGATAAATTCGAGGGATAATTATTAGGGACATATATAAAATTTTATGCTTAAGGGTTACCTTTCCCATATAGTAGACTAAATTTATCATTTTCGCTCCTATAATATTTTCGTATCAATTTAGTCTTCAAAGTTGTTTAATTGCATCATTCTATATCCTTCCCCTAACTTAAAACCCTAAGTTAGTATTTAGAGGTGATAGTGTTATGTTTAGGGTTTAGGGAATATAATTTAG